CGGGAGTGCACCCCCATGTGACAGCATTGTTGTGGCCTACTATTTCTGTGGGGAACCCATCCCCTACCGGACCCTGGTGAGGGGCCGTGCTGTCACGCTGGGCCAGTTCAAGGAGCTGCTAACCAAGAAGGGGAGCTACAGGTGAGAGGAGAAGCTGCAGCCATAGGGCATACTTGCCCAGCATGCAATTTGGTTTTCTGTTCCACTGCTCTTTTCTCTTCCCCTTCACCCTACTTCCCTCAGCCATGGCTGCTGCTTTCTGCTCTTATTTGGGGCACATCAGGGTTGGATAGCATCAGGACTGGCCCTCTTTTCTAGCCGCAGACCTCTCTCTCACTCCTTGTCAGCCAGCTCAAAAACTCCAGTAGTAAGGTTACTGATACCTGAGTGACATGGGAGCCTGTCAGCCCTCCTGGTGTCAGCCCATGTGGATGGCAGAGCTGGGGACCCAAGACCTCTGCTCTTCCTGATTCAGAAGGCTATCAGCAACCTCCATACCCACCAGAAGCCAGGATTGGGATTCCCAGGGGTTTTATAGCAATTTTCAACATACTGTTAACTCAGCCCTTTCAGTGGTCCCAGTTCTACCCCAAGTGTGGCCACTGCCCAACAGGCAACAGCCAAGATCCCAGCTCACTGGCTGGGACAAGCCTGCATTGCAGGGAGGTAGGAATTCCTGGGGTTCAAGGGCAGGCATTCCCTTGCTGGAGCTGGCTTTTCTCACTGTCTCCAATTTTCTGCCCCTAGATACTACTTTAAGAAAGTGAGTGACGAGTTTGACTGTGGTGTGGTATTTGAAGAAGTACGGGAGGACGAGGCAGTCTTGCCTGTCTTTGAAGAGAAGATCATTGGCAAGGTGGAAAAAGTGGACTGAGCACTGGGCAACATACCCAGGGTACACCATCACTAAAGTGCAGTCATCAGCCAGTGAGCAGTCTTGTCCTCAGGAGCCTCATGTGGGCAACAGCACAAGATTGTGTGTCACAAGCTCCTGGGATAGGGGTGGGGGTCTCAGGTGTTTGCCATACCTCTGTCCCTCTGGGAAAGGGGGAGTGTTCCTACTGAGTGGCTCCATGGGTTTCTCTGTTTTGCTTTTCAAAAGAAAAGCCTCACCTTCTCCTACATCACCCCCTGAAGCAATACCATGAGCCATCTCATGACCCTCAACAGCTCTTGCTTCTGAATGCAGACTGACCCAGGGATACCTTTACCTGGACTTTTATCCCAGTGTCCTCTTCTCCCTCTGGGACCTGTCCACTGCACCTGGTTGGGTTCAGGCCCAGTAGCAGGGGATCCTGTGGGGGGCCTCTGTATATTGTACATGTCACTGAGTGCCTTCAACATAGCTGTCTCTTGCCTGCCACTGTGTGAGTGTGGCGGCTGAGTAACTCAGGCCCCTTTGCCTGTCTCCAGCCACCAGCTTGATTCAGCAGAGTGGGGGTCTGGTCCCTTCTAAGTGTCCATGTAAATATGTATATTTCTCAGGCCAGGGCCAGCAGGGGGTACCCTGAGCCCATTTTTCATGCGATGACTTGTACAATTATCTTTTCAAAGGTACTTGGATAATAATGAAATAAAACAGTTTTTGAACCTGCCTTGGATGTGTAATATACTGTCTGTTGCCAGTGAGGCAGGGGCAGGGGCTTATGCTGCCTTTCAGCCAAGCAGTAAAGAAGGCAAGCTGGCCTGTCTGTGTGTTACCTGTTCTTGCCCAGGCAAGCCCCAAAGTCAGGAGGTGCTGAGTTAGAGGCAAGCACCAGGGGCCAAGCTAGGCAGACCAGCAGCCAGCCCTGCTCATGAACCACACAAAGTCTGGGTAAACAGTTTTATTCATAGTGCATATCTCCCTCCAGCACCTGACGACACCACTCCCTGGAATGCTGTGTCCATATGGCTACAGCTCCTCCTTGGGTCCCACGGTGGAATTGTCTTGTATTTCCTAGAAAGGATTACAGAAGCCCATCTCAGACCTGCCTGGGAGAGAACTTATTGAGGGGGGGCTGGTATCCTGAATGGAATACCCACTGGGGTGGAGATTGCAGGCTCCTTGGGCTCCTCCTCTGGCAGGTTACCTCCACTGTCCAGGAACTTGGAGAATGTCTCTAGGTCCCTGGTGCTTTTGTATTCTATCACCTGAGGAGAAGGAGAAGGATCTGAGGGTACACTCCCCAGCCACAGCCTGCCTAATGTTAACCAAGTCAGCTATGGAGTAGTAAATAGTCCACTCCTGCCCCATCCATCCCTTCACCTTCCTGTCTGGCCCTGCAGGGAAGAACTTAAGGGTGGGATAGCCGTGCACAGAAAAGGCCTCCAGCTCATTAGCTGTAGCATCCAACTCAGCGATGACAATGTCCTCACGATCCCTGTACTTCTCTGCCAGTGCCTCCCAGGCTGGAGCCATCTCCTTGCAGTGGCTGCACCATGGGGCATCTAGGGAGGAATCAAGCTTGGCTAGTTGACTCACACCCTACCCCACCCCCACCAGCCTGCCACCTTTTCCCTCTTCAAAACTCACAGAACTTGACAAACACATTCTTGGTTTCATCAAAAGCCACCTGCTCAAAATTCTTGCCCACGAGAGTCTTGACTGGCCGCTCATCCCAGTCTGGGGGTATCTCCTGGCTCAGGAGATAGGGCTGGGAAAGCAAGCAGGCCTTCACTGGGGTCTTGTGTAGGGCCAGGGTCCTAGGACTGCTGTTCCTTCCTTCCTCTAAGAGCTACAGACCTTGACTTGCCCATGAAGGACTGCCTGGCAGAAGGCAGCCACAGAAGCTGCAGTGATGGGCACCAGACCTGTAGGTGCATACTTCTTGGTGGTCTCAACATTGATCAGGCGCAGAGTCGGGGCTTCCTCAGCCTTGAGGCCAAAATAGTTCAGCACATGGTCGTTGTCAGCAGCCACATCCACCATCACAAACAACACCTACCAAAAGCCATACCAAGTTGGGATCTCCCTTAGCCCTACTGCTCCTCCCTCCTGCCCTCCCCCAGTACCTGCCCCCGGAATGGGGGAGCTGCCTCCCTGAAGTCTGTCAGCAGTTCCCTGTGCTGAGCTAGTGTCTTGTTCACAAACAGCAGCAGGTGGTTGAGGATCTTGGCTGCAAAGATCTTAGGTGACGTCTGGAGGGGTGGGAAACTCATGACTTAACACTGGGTCTCTGTTGGAGGGCAGCCCAAGGCCCCTCCACTCTTGCCAAGCCTCCCACTTCTAAAGGTCCCTCTACCCTGCCTCACTGTGACCTATAGCATTACTTGCCTGGCTGTTGAACTCTGTGACCAAGTGCATGCTGTGGGTGACGAGGAAGCGGGACAGGTCCCCCAGGTCCAGGCCTGTGTCCTTGTCTACTGGGAAGTCGGCTCGACCCTCATCAAACTGGACACCAGCAAAATTAGCAGGAGCTACGGCCATGACCCCAACCCTGTCCTTAGCCCCAACCCACCTTCTTGAAAAGGATCACAGTGTCCTTGGTGAGGCCAAACTTCTGAAAGAGCTGTGGCTGGTCAGTGAAGCCAAAGGTTATGTCCAGGGCATCCCTGGCCAAAGCCAGGAAGGTGGCCACATCCTCGCCCTGTAGGTCCTATAGACCGAACCCTGTGAGAATGGTGGGTGCTACCAGCACTGTTGCCACAGCCTGTCTACCCCTCCCAGTTTACCTGAAAGAAGCCAATGACCACCACCTCCCACTTGTCTGTCAGTGCCTGGACATCTTCCTCATCTTCTAGACGTTTGGCACTGGGCCCCACTCTCCGCCTCAGCCACTCAGCAATGCCCTCAGCTTTCTGGGGCCCTGCAAAGAGATCCCCTTTTTCAGACTGCACTTCGGCCCCATCCCTAGGCCACACTCACTCCACACCTGCACGCTTGCCCACCCCTAGACATACCCACCTCATACCTGTGTATTCTTCAGGGTTTGTGCGGTTCCCGTTCTGGAAGAACTTGAGTGTAGGGTACCCTACCACGCCAAACTCCTTGGTCAGCTCTGGTTCCGCAGGCCCATCCACCTTGGCCAAGGTGACCGAAGCTGACTCAGCTGCCAGCAGGGCAGCTGCCTTGCTGTACTCAGGAGCTAGTGCCTTGCAGTGACCACACCATGGGGCATCTGGGGGATGAGGCTGTGAGTACAGCAGTCCTCAACAGCCCCAGCTACAGCCCAGGTCCAACAGGAAGCACATTCTGTTCATACCCTCCCTCAGGTCCACCCTAGACATTGATCACAACCACACCTGGGTGCCAGACTCCAGAGAACCCTTGGGGCCCAGGCACAGTGAGGTTTGGGAGTTTGAGAAAAATCCTGCTTCCTCTCTCCAGGGCCACATGTAGCTTCTTTCTGAAGTCTACCAGCTAAGAATGGTTTTGACATTTGTAAAGGGTTGTGAGGAACCACGGACACATATGCCATAGGACTCTGAATGGACCACCCAATCTGGACACTGCCTTCACAGAAGGACTGGTGACCAGCCATTTGGAATGAGTCCACAAAGGTAGTAACATCAGTATGTGGCCATGGCTGACAGAACAGGGGGTTATGGGCATCCACATGTCCTCCAGCTGCCCACTGCTCTACTACCACTCCTTCCTACCCATGCTAAACCACCACCACGTCCAGCTCAATATCAGGTACCCTTTCAGGGATCCTGGGACACAGGGTACCCACAAGAAAGGCCAAGTCTAGGAAGTAAAAGCCTGAACCCCTAGGCTATCACCATGGTCCCCAAACTTCTGGCCCAAGCACTCACAAAACTCCACCATCAGGGCTGGATGCTCCTGTAGTGCCAGGCTCAGGGTGTGGTGGCTCAGGACCAAGATCCCATCCTCCTTGGGGACTTCTTCCCCAGAGGACTCCTCAGGGAGCACCTCTGAGGGACCCTCAGGTTCCTGTCCCTGTCCCCATGGGCCTGAGACACCCAGCAGGAGCAGCAACACTGTCAGGAGCCGATCATCCATGGTGTGCTGGGCCCTGAAGGCTGGAGTAGATAAAGGGATTGGGGACCAAGCAGCAACAGCCACGTGGCACCTGGCTGGGTCTCAGGGAAGATAAAGCCTGAAAGGCCCCAGAGGGTGGAGATAGGCAGAAAGAGGCAACACAAGGCCAGCGAGACAGGGTAACATTTAATGGGCACCAGGCAGGGGGGCAGGACACAGCAGAGTGGGGGACATCTGGTCACCAACTGGGAGGTCTAGGGAATGCTTGCAGGTCCTTCTGCAACTGACAGAAATTGGGAAAGCAGGCCCCAAGTAGGTTCAGTCCTTCCAGTCCTGGCAGACGTGAAGGCACCACTCCCAGGACAGGTGGTCAAGCCTGTCATCATCAGTGAAGAGGGACCTGACCACGTAGAGGCCACGTGCCAGTGCGCCCCTTGGTGCTTCCTCCACTGTCGTCACAAATTCATACTCGTGGGCCCTGGGGCCATAGCTGCCCACCATGAAGATGGCCTTGTCCACTGTGGGAAGGAAGTGCATTAAGAGCCACCCCTCTGTCCACCTCTCCCAGCCCCAGGCTGCCCTCCACAGTATCTCACCACGTAACCCCCGACGGTAGGTGTGATGCAGACATTTGAGGCCACTGACAATCTCCTTGTTGACCTGGGGGAAGGAGAATGTTGAGGGCCTTCTCTGGAAGGCTGGGACATGGCTGGTCCCCTACTGCAGCTACCCTCACCTTGAAGGTGATCTTCACCTTGTATTCAATGCCCTCCTTCAGGATAAACACCTGGTTTTTCAGTGCAGCCAGGTCCCCTGTTAAAGAAATGACAGATACACTCTAAATTTCCAGGGTGTATAAGACCCTGCCCCAGGAATAGCTATGTAGGGACTGGTGGTGCCCATGGAGTCTGTGGCAATGCACCCAAGGAACTAGGATTCAGCACGGGGTCCTAGGATCATCTTCATCCAAAGATGGGCTGCGGTCTGAGAGGGGGTTACCTGTAAGGTCCATGACGATAGGCCCTGGAGCCTGATCCGACAGCAGTGTCAGCCTAGTCACCTGCACGTTGGGCAGGCTGGGGTCTGAGGAGAAACAGCATCCACAGGGTGCCCTGCAAACCCCACCTCCCGCCCCCCTGCTTGCAGCCCTCCACATCCAGGCCCCAGGCCATACCCATAATGGGTGGCAGGGGCCCCAGCAGCGCCTGCTTGTATTTGACCAGGCTCACGTCCTCAGGGTCCAGCTGCCAGATTGCCAGCATGCTCTTCTTCCTAGGGGCCTGGTACTCTGGTACAGTTTCATCCAGCACCTCATCTGAAGGGATTGGCTCCCCGTCCTTGTCAGCCAAGAGGACTGGAAGTAGGGGAAGGCAGGTAAGTACCTGCCACCTGCTGACCCTGGCATTCAAGTGCTGAGCTGGGATCCACACTCTCACCAGTTGTATCTCCCACTGCCCAGTGGAGCTAAAGAAGCCAGAGGAGCTGTCACAGACATACAGTGGCCCCTAAGTCCCTAGAAGTCCCTAGGTTTGGTCTCTTCAGAAGGGGCTCTGGTGACTGGAAGAGATTCCTAAGAGACCCTGGAGAGACCAATTTGTTTCTGGTCAGCTTACAGGCCACTGCTTAAGAGTAGTGGCCCTGAGGTACTCCAGGGGTTCCCCAGCTCTGAGCTTTTCCCATGATATCCTCAGCCCCTCTGGTGGTGCCCCAAACTAGGGTTCTCCATAGCCCCTTTGGGTGTCTTGCGCAGGGGTCTCACTGAGATGCTGCCCACTGTCCTCCAACCTTAGGATTGCCTCTCACCGGAAGGAGCCCCAGCCCCACCTACGGGAGAGGCCGCAGCCTCCCGGCTGGACACACTCCTTTCCTCCTGGCTCCCTTCCCCAGAAGGGTCTGTATGGACTGAAGTCCCACACCCGGCCAGAATCCACGCCACGAGGTCCCCACAAGCCCCCAAAGTTGCCTCGGGGACTGACCCCCAACCACGCCGCTCCCTTGCTGCCCCCGGCGCACGTGGC